CCCTGAACTGCTGACGCGTGGATGCCTTTTGGTCCCGGTTGGTGCTACCAACCGGGACAAAAGGCCCTCCTGCCTGGGCAAGCCGCAGCGGCCACGTGGAGCCCCATCTTTCCCGGTTCGTAGGCGAGCTGGGACTAAAGGTATTGGGCTTCAGTACCAACCCTTTAGTCCCGGTTCGGGAACCGGGACAAATGGGCCTTATGAACCGGGACAAATGAACCTTTTTCTACTAGTGTGAATGACCCAATTGTAGTTTTGAGTCGATTGACATAGCCAGTGCCATTTATTAATACATGCACTAACAAAAGGGTTGAACGATCTTAACGACTAAAAATTGTGACCTTATGCGAAAAATTACAATATCTGAACAACTAAAAATCATGAACCTAAGCATGAAAAAAAACATGATCCAAACAGCTAAAAATCATGAACTTGGTACTGTTGGAGCAATAAAAACATTTATCGTCCACCGAAAAATCTTTGACATAGACTTGTTCTTGAATAGCAAAAGAGAACAACTCAAGAAATTTTTGTTTGCGAATGGTCTCTCGCCAATTATCTTGCCATAACATGACAGAACTGCCCTGCCCTGAAGTTCACTTGGCTACCATCTTTAAATCTAGCATGAACTGGTAATCCTTTTCAACCAAAAGGAACCAGCAGGCATGTTGCAATGACTTCGGCCACACCCCGAGTGACAATTCCTTTGAAATGATCTTTTATCCATCTCTAGTTATATGCACCATGCATTTAGCTGACGATCCATCGAGCTATATGGATGCATGTATCCATCGAGCTATCTGGATGCATGTATGCAATCTCGTTGTTCATGTGCTCCATTTATAACAGTATAAAACAGTGCTTAATCACCTCTGTTTGTTTTCACGTAGCCAAACATACACTCTGCTAAAACAATATTATTTTAATATATTTGAAAGTGTTTACCCAGACAAGAATGCAATTATTAATTGGAGAATTTCACGCTAACGTAGACATGAAGCACTTCCCAGTGCTCCATGATGTACAAGTGCTTAGCATACCACATAGGCAAAAAAAATCTAATGTGGCATTGAAGTTAAGAGGAGAGAGAATATTTTGGTGACCCTGGAAAGAACCAACGTCAAGCACGCGGACCTATGAAAAACACTTAAATAAAAGAAGTTTTCCCTATGCACATGAGAGTTTGGTTGTTAAACAATTAAATGTAGAAAGCTTAGCAACAACAAACTAAGCACCTATGCATTGTGAACTTCGGTTGCTTAACTATTTAATGCTCTTGGCACCACATCTAAGCACCAATGCATTGGAAGTAGCCTGAGGGTTATTGATGTTGTGCGCATGAGATTGTACCGCCCGATGGTGTAGGTATGATATTTTGAAGGCGATTGGAGGCACGGATATATATTCCATGTTTTATATCAAAATATGTGCCCAAGAAAAATACATTATTTCCCAATTACTACTTTCTTCGCCCGAATTACTCGTCACAAAAATGGATAGAAAGGTATGTATTTAGACCTAAAATACATGTAGACACATCCTTGTCTATGACAAGTAATTCCGGACGGACGAACACTTGCTTTTAATCCTCAAAGAAGAAAAAGAAAGAGCACTTGCTTTTGTGCGTCCAACAATATTTTGTTGTCACGTCCCGATCGATTCAGCTTAGCGCATACCAAATCGCATACCAAAAAAAGAAAAAAAATAAAGGACCGCCTTCTTTTGGGGTGCGAAGGAATAGTTTCTAAATAATACGGTGTACGTACTAATCCTTCGACGCGTGAGTTTAATGTATACAGCTCAGCACATACCCGATCGTATCTCATTCCCAATCACGAGTTTTAATGTACGTAGCCCAGCGAAGAAGGGATTCCTCTCCGGACGCTTGCTATATAAACCCCCGACCCTGAGACGTAGCCACACCAAAGCCACACCCACAGCCACTCCTCTTCCTCCCTTTCTCTGAGGCTAGCCACCGAGCAAGCGAGCAATGGCGGCGCCCAACCGGAGAGGCGGCAGCGGCCGGAAGAAGATCGTCATCCGCCGGATCGAGCAGGAGGATGCCCGGTTCGTCTGCTACTCCAAGCGCCGCCAGGGGTTCTTCAACAAGGCCACGGATCTGGCGGTCCTGACGGGCGCCCAGGTGGCCGCCCTCGCCTTCTCTCCCCGCGGCAGGGCTTTCTCCTTCGGCCACCCCTCCGTCCACTCCGTCGTGGAACGCTTCCTGGCGGGGGAGGCTGCGGGGGCTGCCGCGAGGGAGGAGGGCGCTGCCGGCGAAGACGAGAAGCTCGAGAAGCTGCAGCAGGAGTTCGACGAGCTGCGCACGGAGCTGACCGAATTGAAGAAGCGGACCAAGCGCACGGACAAGGCCATGGTGAGAGAGCGCTCTGCGGGGGACCGGATAGCGGCTTGGTTCGACCCCAAGGCGCGCGACATGGGAATGGGAGACGAGGACATGGCGGCCTTCTTCGCCGCGCTGATGCAGATGAAGGACGCCGTCTCCGATCGCGCCAACCAGGTTCTCCTCGAGGCGATGCACGCCCACATGAGCCTCATGGCGGAGGTGGCCCCGCCGCCGCCGCCCCAGATCTTCGGTGGCAGCACCTTCGAGTTCGGTAGCAGCAGCGGCACCGCCAACGACGGGATGGAGTTCCAGTTTCTGGCGCCTCCGCCACAGGAGCAGGGGTTCGAGGCCGCGATGGATATGCAGCAGATGGTGATGGCGCCGCAGCCTCCGTCTCACGTGGTCGCCGCCGGGATGGATGTGCAGGACATGCCTCCGCCGCCGGGGTTGGCCGCCGGGATGGATCTGGAGCAGATGCAGATGACGATGTCTAAGCCGCCGGGGTTCGACGCAGGGCTAGACAAGGAGATAGATCAATGGCTTGATGTGATGCTGCCGCGTCCGGAGTTCACTGCCGGGATGGAGACGGTGCAGCAGGGGCTCCATCAACCGAACGCCGGCTTCCCGTACTGAGATCCAAACCCAGTCAGAGCCCGAGTACAGTGCATATGGACACTAGTTTCGTATGCCTAGTTTACATATGCATCTTCTACTTAAGTCTTCCCGTTAATTTTTTGTTTTGTTTGAAATGAAGTCGTCGCCAATCTTTGGTACATGCTCTGCATCTACCCTGGATCTGGACGAAATTAAATATTTCGTCAATATTTTTATTTGGCCATTTCCTTTCCTTATCATGCATTAATGGGTTGTAATATGTATTGCACCGATATGAATGAAATACAATGGTCGATCTGTGCTGGATACATCTATTTATTAATTACTGTATATACTATTACTAAAATAAGGGACAAACGAGCCATCCCATGCATTCACATAATCTACAATTTTGACACCGTTTATCAGAATTTTTAATGGCTGAGATTTAAAAGATTCGAAAATTACATACGACTATATTTGGTACAAACAAGTCACATCAGAGGAGGTACATCCATATGACATATGTATATGCAAACAAAATTAAACATGCAAAAACCGCATGGGACATGTGGTTAGTAAATTCAAAATTCGTACACAATACACGTGCAATTTTTTTTTAAAAAGAGACCAACATGCAACATGAACTACACCTGGACTCTCGCCTGTAGCATGGCAGCCAATAACACACCCATCTTGGCATCGGGCCATGAACCAAGAGTGCCAAACGTCCAAGAAAGCTCATGCCTAAAAAATTATACAGGCCAGAGATACTTGCACGTATGAAAGTCAACTAGGAGAGTACTATATACTTCAATAGACATGTTCGTTTATTAAGCACAATATTTTGCCCGATAGATTAGGATCAGGAGTATGAGAAACAAAAAAGGCTGGGAACATACAAATAAATGGAGATATTTGAAAAACAAATAAAAGTACTGGTCTTCAAGAAAAGATAGACTGAGGTGTCAGCATGCAATGATTACAACTAAATGTTTATAAACAAAAACGAAGAATTGATGTATAAATCTAAATATCAAGAGGAATATATGTCACTAATTCAAAACAAAATATAATCAAAATCGACGTGCCTTAAAAATACACGATCTCTTGATTCTAATATAAAGGTTGAGATTAAAAGATTAAAAAAGGTATTCATGACTTTAATCAGTGAGCAACAGTCACACACAAAAAAGATCGCATACATAGGCATCGAGAAATTAGCCATTTGAGTTTGCATCTATGAGGCACATATAGACAAGGAAAGGCCTACCGGTAAAAAAAGGAAATACTTTTGCATAGGCATATATGTCCTCCCTCGGTTGTTTTTACTCGATTTATTATATTTGTCCGAAGCCAAATTTTGTAAAGCTTGAATATATTTATGGGAAAAATATCAAGATCTATAATACCGAATAAATATAATATGACAAATTTATTCCACAATGGATCTAATGAAGTCAATTTTGCATTTAATTTTTTCGTATAAAAGTTAGTCAAATATATCCAGGACTTGAATCAACCGGAGGGGGCCGTGGTTATGCTTGGGTGGACAATGGCAATAATAACAGGGGTTTCCATGGACCGACCGGAAGTTTCGTCGAGGGCGCGCCCGGTCCTAACAACCGTGCTTTCCGAGGACGCTTTCGTGGAGGTCAGGGCGGGAACCGGAGGCAACAACACCCTCGGTATGCAAGGATTGCTACAGTGACGGAGGTAGCGGAGGGTGCATTGGATTTACCCCAGGTGGCGGTGGAGGCGGTGCAGGCTTTGGTTGCAGTTTCGCTGCCTGAGCCTATGCAGACTGGCGATTCTGCTTCTGAGCATGGTTCGGACGAGGCCGAGAGTGACAAGTTGTCTAAGTGGGCGGCTAAGAAGAAGAAGCTCACTTGTTTCCGTTGTGGGGAACCGGGTCACTTTTTGGTTCGGTGTACTGCGGAGTTATGTGATCTGTGCCGGAAGCGTAAACACACTGCGGCCGACTACCCTCTTATGTTGGGGCCAAAACCATCCGTTCAGATTTACGGAGGGTGTTCTTCGGAGTTGATGTTTTTTGAGTCTCCGTCTGCGGAGCCTTCTGCGCCCATAGTGGAAACGTCCTTCCCCGGTGTGGTGAAGGTGGTTCACGGGCCTTTGACCGAAGCACAGATAATTCAACAGTTGAGAGAGCTAGCTCCGGGTAATTTTCAGTGGTCCTTACTTAAGCTCTCCATAACTCATATAAAGTGGATTTCCCGTCTAAGGAGGATCAGGTGAGGATTCTCAAGTTTGGTATGAGCAGGGTCACAGGTACTAGCTTTGTGCTGGAATTTGATGTGTGGAAAAAGAAAGAGCCACAGGGCACGCCGTTAACTCAGATTTGGGTTCGTTTCTCTGGTGCCCCGTCTGCTCCTTTGGACAGCTTCTTGGTGACCTGGAGTCTGGGGTCTTTGATTGGTAGGACCGAGCAGGTGGATATGCAGTTCACTCGGGCTCATGGGGTGGCACGGCTGCTGGTTAGTGTCGCCAATATTCAGTTCTTGCCAGACGTGGTGCCTTGGACTCACGCGGGCGTTTTATATCAGTTGGATGTTCAGTATGAGGATCCTGATCTATTCAATGAGTTTGAGGATGATAATCCCATGGATACTTCTGAGGGAGGAGGGGGTTCGGGGGACCAGGATGATAGTGCAAAGAGTAATGAGGACAAGGCTATGGGACCGTCGGGTCCGTCTGATAATGCTGACTCCGCCCCTGTTGGGCCGTCTAGCACAGTTCCGACTACCACTCTTCAGTTGGGCTCTATTGGGGCGTTCTCGGCACCGCCGAGGTTGTCGTGTGATAGGGCTGGTTCTGCGAGTCCGGTGCTCAGTTTGCGTGGGGCGAGGTCTGTTGAGGACGCAGGTGTTGTGGGGCAGGAGGTCCCGTCCTTGGTTCCTATTTCTCCGTCGGCTATGGCTGTGGTGGCCGAGCCAGTGGTTGCGGGAGGAGTTGTCGAGCAGGAGGCTCGGCCCTCTGGGTCTTTGACGCTGGCGGTGCCGAGGGGCGGCGTGGCCCCCTTGATTTTACACAACAGTTTTTTCAGTCATCAATTTTCAGAAGCAGAACTGGAGTGTTTGCTTAAAGTGTTTATCATCACAACCATGGTCAAACCAGAACACACAAATCTAAAAAGAAGACCATTGAATTTCACAGCCATGCATCGTTCAACCCCATAACTATAGACTTCTGGTCATCCTTATTTCGAATGATATATGTATGCACCTCCAAGTCCCAGGGTAACAATAAGATAGATTAAGGTTTGTTGGGGGGTGGATCGGGGGGTACATGTGCTTGAGTGCTGGGTTGTGGTTGCTCTTTGTATTGGTGAAGAGAAGAGGTCCTTCTCCTCCTCCGACGAACCCATCAGCTCATATAGATCATCATCTTCTTTGATTCTTCTGCTTCTTCCTCTTAGAGATGGATGGATCAACTGCAGGATTCCATCCATGGAGTGCTTATTTGGACAACTTGGCAGGGTTTATCTTCAATCACTGCAGCAAACAGTTCTTTTGCCAACAAAACATGGTCAAGTGGCTGCATATAGAGAAAGTATAGCGCACGAGAATGCATCCTACAGCAGCTCAATACGCAACTTAACGATTCAAGCAGCAAATAGGACAAATATAGAATGGTGATTTCAACTAAGAGATAGCTCTCTCTAAATTTTTGAACCATGTGCAAAGAAGCTCACCTGCGCAGTTGTAGCCGAGGCCAGACATCACCACTTCCATGGTTGCGGCTAGGCAAGCAAAATCACAAAAAAACAACACCGGTACCGTCCATCATCTTGGATGTGATGGGGCCCACACTCAGGTTTGCCTAATGCTTGGCAAAGTTGTGCATCGATCACTACAACAAACATACAGTTTTTTCAACAAACAAAGGGTCAGCAGCTGGCTGCAACAATGGTACAGAGGATTGGAACAATGTAGTATCTATCCTACAGCAGCTCATCTACACACAACTTAACAGTAAGCAGCAAAAACGATAGATATCTTGTTAGAAGCTACAAAAGTCCTTTCTACCAGCTGGACTAGATATCACCAAGATGAGGATATGGCGCAAGATCAACCATAGCATAGAGAAGAAATTGATAGTTCCATCGTGCGATTCGCTCTTGCATCATTCTCTGCAGGCCATTCAAGGGAGAATAGGATTTTTTCATTGTGGCACGCTCCTCCAACCCTCTTCTTCTTGTCGGCTAGAGGGCATCCACCAGAAGAACCTATGTGGCTACCATTGTGGGCGGCAGCGAGGCCTTGATTGCCCCTGGTTGGGTGGATGGCCTGTGCACGCCGAGGCGATGGCCTCATGTTGGGTGGGGGTGGGGGTACTCTCACGTTTGTCATATTTTAGTCTCACCTTCGCGGAAGAAAGGTGAAATATTCCCAAGTTTGACTTAATGACTTCAATTGATTATGATATACAATAAGATAAGCATGCACAACTTTTCAACATTTTAATGTTTGGTCCGGATGCATATATTAATAGCTGAAGACTAGCTATATATATATATATATATATATATATGCACATTCAATCAATTAATGGAATTTATAGAATCTTACTCCAATATTATGCATCACATGAAACTGGTTGTCACCCGACAGGGTATCATTACTTCAGGTTTATCAACCTTCAAACTAAAAGGGCCCCCATGAATTATTTAGTAATGGATATCCTAATGGGAAATATAATAACACAATATTGACAATTATTGTTTATCTAGATCTATTCCAATTACAACCTGATTATATCATTTACTCAACTAGCAAGCACTAATATGCATGAGAAGATATTTCATACGTTGATGGTTTTGCCATGTTGCCTGGATTAACTAGTGACACACACTTACACTATTATTGCTCATATTTGTCTCTCTACAGCTTGTGCATGCATTTATGCACGCAAGGAGAAATTTGAGAGGATGAATATGATTTGAGAATAGTGTACTCTTACTATTATTTTTAGGGGGATATGTTCATGTAGATTGGGTAACAAAGGATATGAATCTCTGT